GTCTTAAACCATAGGACTCGAACCACAGTCAGCCATGTGGGAGCCCAGTACCTTAACCACCACACCACCTGCTGGCCCCCACAAATGTGGCCTTTTTATGGTGGTCAGGCTGTTGGGTGTGAGGAGAAAGAGGCATGGTGTCTAGGTCTTCCTGCAGCTGGGACTTCCTGATCATGGCTTCGGGTGTCTTGGTTTTGCGTTTCATTTCATCTGACATTTTAGCAGAGGTGGGTGCCCCTTGAAGCTAATGAAGCTGAGGCTCTGCTACCCTTCACAGGCCTTTCAACGGCATGCTCTTGATTCGGTATACAGAGTACACACTCATTTCTTTTTTTTTTTAGAATTATTTATTATTTATTAATTATTTATTTATTACTATTATTTTAATATTTCTAGAGAGAGACAGAAGAGAGAGAAAGTGAGAAAGGAAGCCTCCAGATCTGGGACTCAAACCATGTGGGAGTCCAGCACCCCTAACTATCATGCCACCTGCCAGCCCCATACACTTGTTTCTTAAAGAGGGCTCCCCAAATTATGTAAGCTCAGGGCCTGTGCAGCCTGGACTTGTATGAACGTCTCACAGTATCATCATGATAAGAAGCTGGTATCTTTTACTCACACCTCTTGTGACTTTTCTAGGGGGCTGACTGCCTCTCCTTGCTTGGTCTCTAGTTTAGTTATGCTCTAGAAATTCTTGATACTTCTGAGCTGTGACAGAATACACAACTGACTATTTGTCGCAGCCACTGTCAAGACTAACACCTTGCATATCCTATACTGCACTCACCTGCCTCTTTGATTCTTCTGTGCTTTGGTTGATCCAGAAGTCTTAGGGTCACTCTGGATCACCGTCCTTCTCTTACTGCCACCCTCTTCCCCTGCACAGTTGATCAACTACCTTGTTTCCATTTCCCCTTCTCCATCCTTTTCTCCAAAAGCCAACCTCAAGCTCCCACCTGCTCTGGCTACACTACCCTAACGATGCCCTGGTTTCCAAGTCTTTTCCTGTGGTCCTCCAGCCCCTGCTCCACAGCGGCCAGAAGGAGGCTTCTATGCCAGTGGAAATCTGATGGGCACTCCGCTGCTTCAGCTAGTCCATGGCTCCTGCTGCCTCTACAGGATGACTTAGCAAAGCCTTCAAGGCTCTAGGAGCTGGTTGCTGCTCCTTACACCCCAGGTTCCAGGCAGAAATGGTGCTACGGCTTCCCGGTCACACCACCCTGCCCCTTTGCGGAGCATTCACATTTGCTGGTGTGTCTCTCCTGCAGGTTTCCCGCCTTGTTCTTTCAACTGCAAAACTCTCTTCTTCCTGCACAGCCCACTCATGCTTTGCTTCCTCTAGGAAGCCTTTTCTCTTTTTCTATTTTTTTTTTCCTGAGAGGTTTTTGCTATAAGACGTGTGCACTTGCCAGAAAGACAGAGAGAAACAGAAAGACAGAAAGTGAGAAATCCCACCCCACCGGGGGAATGGCCACGCCGCAATCCCTTCTCCTCCATTCTTCTCTCGGGATCTTGGGCACACACACGTACCCAGTGTGAGTTTAAGCCACCAAATCCGGGACTTGAACCGCAGTCGACTACATGGGAGTCCAGTAATGTAGCCATATGCCAACTGCTGGTCCATCTTTTCCTTATGCTCAGTAGGCGATTCCCGATTTCACTCCCCACTTGAATTCTGGACCTCACAGAGCCTTCTATAACAGCACCGAGGTACTGATGCGGTGGTCACCCTTCTCTCCCTGATACGCTGGGCAGGCTGGAGGCCATGATTTCTGGCTTATTTATCTCCGTGCCAGTAGTGTGCTTGGCCCATAAAAGATGTGCCATCACTGCTTTCCAACTGAATGAATGATGGCCCTGATACCTCTGTTGTCCTTCGGTTAGTAATAGGTCTAAGAAGTCCAACTTCAGGAAAAAAAACAAAGAATTCTAACTTCAGGGCGAGCAGGTGGCATGGAGTTAAGGCAGCTGGATCCCACATGGGCAACTATGCGGTTCTAGTCCTGGACCTGGCAACTTGAAAAACAAACTGAGTACATGTGTATGCCCAAAACCCCAAGAGGAGAATGGAGGAGAAGGGACTGTGGCACGGCTAACATCCCCTCCACCACCTCCAGGATGATTTCTCACGTTCTTTCTCTCTCTCTGGTGAGTATATGTGTCCTATAGCAAAATAGAAAAGAATTCCAATTTGGTCCTCAAAGGCATAGAAACATAAGTTACTTTAAATAACAACTCAGTTTGAGTTCAAGTCAATGCCTTGGAAAAATATATTGACCTTTTACCATTTTTAATTCACCGACCTGGGTAAGTTCTACAAATTATTGTAAATTCTCCTGTTTGATGGCTGATAATTCATACCTCTGGCTTCTTACCTTTCCTTATCCTGACGCCTGTTTTAGAGTCTTACGATAATAGAATTATTTCAGCCCTTGCTATGTGTCACACCCTGCCTCGTTCGTACATCGAGCACTATCTCATTACCTCTTCAATCTTCATTAGAAGCTCAAAGTAGAGAAACAAAGAAAGCTTCAATATTTTAATAAATCGAACTAAAAAGGTATGAGTATTTTAAAATAAAGTCTTTCAAAAAGCTTAGAGGGAGAGCTTCCCACTGTGGGATGTTAATTAACTCTGTTGCCGATCTCATCCATGTTGGCTTTGGTGTCTCACCAAATGTGGGCCATCAAGAGCTGAATATATTACAACCAGGATTTCATTACAGGCCCTGGGAGTATTCTTGGCTTGTGCATGTAGGAAAAATAGGCAGGCAGGCTGGAAAGAGAGTTGATGTGAAAAGAAAGAGGAAGGAAAGATAGAACTTGAGGAGAAAAAGCAGAGAGAATGAAAAAGGCCAGGTGGGGGAAAAGGCAGAGGGAAACAGGAATAAAGACAGAGTGAGGAAGAAGAATAGACCCTGTGACCAAGGAAAACAGAGGAGAGAAAAAGAAGAACCCGAGTCCAGGTCAATGATGCTGAGGTTTTGGAGACAGTAGCAGCAGAACGCCATACCTACCCCCTCAAGAACCAGGCTGCTACTCAGTCATCTCCAGGGAGTAATTGCTCTATCATTTGCTCAGGCTCTTTCCTTAGAATTTAACTGATTTACTGATTAATTGAGTGAAAATCTACCCCAACATAGGGCTTTTTCCCCCCATGTCAATTTAATAAAAAATGTTGGCTCAGGATAGATTTTAAAAAGTAGTTAACTATAGATGTTAACTACAGTCTACGATAAGCTCAGACATGTAGTGTGGGTTTCAATCCTCCTCATGGATAAAGAAGCTTAGAAAGCAATCTGGAATGACAGACTGAGCCAATATTGCCTTCTCTCTGCTAAGGCAAGAGTGGTTGTGATAGATTTTCCACTATGTATTTCAGGGTTCCAGCTGCATACCATCTCTCTGTTATTCTTTGCCAGGGAATCTGAATGACAGCACTTGCCTCAAAGATATTTTTCCATTATAATTTTTCAATTTGTTCTGGTTTGAAAAATGTGTGTAAATGAAAACAGAAAATTCAAACACTGTGCCTCCTTGAAACACTGCATCTTGTCTTCACAATGACTGCGCAGGCATTTCTCTGCCTCCCTTTCTCTTTGGCAAATGGACTTATCTACTTATTTATTTATTTTTACTGTTTCTTTTTCAAAAAATTATGATAGGACACATGCACATGCAGGAGAGAGAGACCAAGAGCAAGAGAGGGAGAGAGGGTATGTGTCAAGTGTCCACTGGATTGTTCCCAGTGAGTAATTTCTACATCATTTGTTCAGGAAAGAGAGAGAAAAACACCCCTCCTCCAGTGTTCCAACCTTCTAGGATCCTGGACGGACACACACACACACACACACACACACACACACACAGTTTTTCAGGACAACTTGGCCAAGGACTTGAATCACGATTAGAATGTGGCTTCCAGATTCATAGTCTGGGATGGTACTGACTGCTACAGAGGCTGGCTGTATAAACTCTCTTTCTCTCTTTTTCTTTCTTTCTTTCTTTCTTTCTTTCTTTCTTTCTTTCTTTCTTTCTTTCTTTCTTTCCTTTTCTTTTTCTTTTTCTTTATCCTTTTTATGATCTTTTGCCATAGGGTGTATGTGCTCACCAGAGAGAGAAAAAGAGACAAAGACAGAGATAGTGAAATTAAGGAATCACCCTCCAGGGGGTAATCTCTTCTCTTTCATTCTCTTGAGACTTTGGGGATGCACATACATGTACCTGGTGTGATTTTCAAGTCGCCAGGTCTGGGACTAGAACCACAGTCAGCCATATGGGAGTCCAGTGCCTTAACCACCACTCCAAATGTTGGCCCCACATTATTTCTTGAGACAGTGAGAGAGGCACCACCAACAGGATCCCCATGATGTAATCCACCCCTAGCTTTAGCCAGCCCAGATCACAGGCACGCCCACACACATGTGCCTGATACACACAGGGTGGCCCCTGGATGCGAAGTGGGGACCTCCAGCAGCATCATCACTGTGCCACCTTCTGGCCCAAGAGGCCTTATTTTCTAATCACTTCCACCATGTCATAAAATATTTACCAGAATTCAAGGAACTCTTCTTTATTTTTCATCTCTCTTTTTTACCTACAACCTCTTCTTTTAGTTCACTCATCTCTTCCTACCCTAAAAACCTTTGGGAGAACTCAGCTTGGTCTGAGGCTTCAAGAGAGACATTACTTCATTTCCTCAAGATATTTAGCACCCCCGGTTTCCCCACCTGGAAACCAAGGAACACGGCAGTCCCTCAAAGTCCTTTTGCCCATCTGCTCTAGGGAGAACTGAGGCAGTCAGCTTATCTTAAATCTCTACAAGAGATTAGATGTCCTTGGAGACAGTGAGAAGAAATATTTACCCCGGGAACTCACACTGGATTACTGGGAAGAGCTCGTATTGCATTGGCAGGGAAGAGGCAAGCCCTTAGGCACACAGCGTTAGCAGATTTACTCACTTCCACACCTGCCCCTCTCTTGATCTGAGAGCACCCTTACCTTCCTTGGCTTCACTTTGTCATGGTAGTCATACTGGAAGATTCCTTTGTAGCTCAGTCCTAGCCACCATGGTATCCCCTGTTTGTCCTAGGACACCAAAAGGAACGTGCGTAAATAGGAGGCTGGAGAAGCTGAACATGGCCAAGATGAGATTTCTGTGCTTAGCTGAAGATAAGGCAAATGCAATTTCTTGAAATGAACAAAGTAGGCCGGTTATTCTTTTACCTTAACAGATGTGCCATCATTGAATAATGTTCAAGAGGCTAGATCTTACTGCTCATGACAGACTACAGCTGAGCTGTGAGAAGGGCAGGGATAGTGATGACTACTGTATGAGTTCTGTGAATGACAGTGATGAGGGGTTAAGATCTTCCACAGGTAGAAAGAGCTTTTGTAGACTTACATCATTGCAGGTTTTAGGAGCTCCTGAGCCATGGTGCTGGATAGGCCTTTAGTCCCCACACATGGCTCACTCTGGGCTCCACAATTGAGTTTCTACATTTGCCCCAATCATGGAAATGAATCCATCTAATCCCTCAGTTCAATTCTCAAGAACCACTCACTCAATAAATATTTACTGAGCACCTACTATATGCCAGGTACTGCACTGGGTTCTGAGAATATCCAATAGAACATAACACATAGCCTTTACCAGACAAAATCTGCAGGTTAGCAGAAGATTAGGCAATTAAGTGCACACTGATGACATGCAACATGGTATGCATGCTGCCTTCGATGACACAAAATGAATCAAACATGGGGAATATTTTAGTCTAAAGAAAGTAAAAACATATCATAGTGGAGTGAAAGTATGGGGAAAGACATTGGTGGGAGAGCAAAAGAATGTCAGGTTGGCTGGTGGAGCTGTCTTGAATTCAGAAGTGTTTTCTCTATTTTTTGTCTGGACACTGGGTAATGACTGAGTCTAACTTTTCATGTAAGGGTAATTAAGGAAGGAGAAGAAAGGGATCTTTTCCTTCTTATGGGCTTCTGGGGACATTGTTATCTATTATTTCACAGAAGAGATCCCAATCTGGAATATTATGGACAAAACTAAAGAGAATTTAGAATGAAGCTAATGTCCCATTGGACTTGCCATCACAGTATTTGAGAAGGCAGGAGGTAACTGGTCAACCTATGATCCTGGTTTTCCTCCTGTAAAGTTGCCCACAGAGCATTTGACCACCAAGAAAAACACTAGATGCTGATCGAAATATTTCATCTCTGCAGTTCCTTGTATTGAACGGAGTCTTCCTACTAAAATGTTCTGCAGTCCTGGTCTCCTAGGGTTCTTCTGAGACCAAAAAGAAATATGGGTTTATTATCCTACTTCACAAAAGGGAAAATGAAATTTGGAGAGTAACTGTAAAGAGTCCTAGAACAGCAGGGGGAAAATTTAGTTGCCCAGTTTCCCCCTAACATGCAATATTTCTGACCAAGTTCTCACCCCACATCCCACTCCCACCAAAAAAGAAAAAAATTCAACAAGATTAAAAATAAAAAATAAAAAATGTTTTTGTTTGTCTAGGGCACAGTTTGCAATCTTCCCCAAACGAGTTCACTTACCTTCACTGCATAATAGTGAACTCCATAGGTCGGGAGAGACTCCACAATGCTCATGTAGCTGGAGGACAACACACACAAACAGAGAAACAATACAGACAGGGTGGATATTATTATTTCTTTTTCAGGTCATAAGTATATTTGCAAACATATTTAGTATGTTCTGAGTTTAAGTGTTTGATCTGTTTTTCAGAGATTGTGACTACACCTCTTAAAATGTTCTTCATATCTATTAAATGGATGCATCAAAATGAAAACATTCTTATTTCTTGAGCAGTTGTTGTCTTATTATAAAGAAAGGTGCAGCAAATCCAGTTCTGAAGTACGAAGCCATCATAATGAGAAACTGCCAGTTGTTTTCTGCTGAAAATGACAGATTCTTCCCTGGGCCTCCTCATAGTAGCTCCTACGGACCACAGAGGTCGTGAACCTCTGCATGTTCTGTCCCAGCATGGTGCTGTTGGAAGCGCTGGAGGATGCACAGAGTCTGAAGGCAGAAGAAATGGCAGCACCACACTAACCCTTCCTTTTCTCACAACCTGGTTCTCTCAGGAGCGGTGGATATTAAGGCAGAGATCATATAGATATTACATTTTTGTGTGAGTGATAAAGTTCTCAGAATAATTACTTATTTAAAAATCAGGTTGAACTCTCACCCCTGGAGATACGTCTGTCTGAGTAGCATTGAGCAATCTTGGCATATGAAATATTAACACACGCAAGCACGATCTTTGTGAGAGCTAGGAAGGCCACTTACTTCACAATTGCTTGACCTCTTGTCTGACCATTCAGTTTCTTGTAGTGCTCGATGACTCTGTCTTCACTAGAATGAGAATAAAAGAATCCAGTATTAGAGGTGCTGGGTCAATGGTCAAGCCTCCTGCAAAGAGACTTCCAAATCTGATCAACCTCATGAGATGCCCCAAAGAGCCCTCAGCTCCTAGAAAAATGACTTGTCCTGAAGCGGCATTTCCAAACTCAGCCTAAGTGAAATCTGTATAGATTTTCTAGAAAATGTTTATATTCCCCACTGAAGACTTGCACTCTTTTGGACTTAGGAGAGAGAAGAGAGAGATAGAGAGATGGAGCAAGCAATGGGGTGTGGTCATGCCACATGCCTTCTCCTCTGTCTCTTCATCCAGTCAGGATCCTGAGCATGCATGTTCACAGTCCTGGCAGTTTTTTCAAGGTGCTAGGGCTAGGATTTGAACTGTGGTCAGCCATGTGGGAGTCCAGCACCTTAAACACTATGCCACCTGTTGGCACTGGAAGTTCTCTTTAAATGTGACCAGATCCTCCGTGACAGAATTCCTGAGGAGCATCCTGCTGTGAGAAACCTCAACCTCATCAAATCTCCAGAGCTATGTCAAGAGGTTCCAGAGTTGTTGTTTGTGCTTCCTCCTGACTTATCACTAAATCTATAGCTGCCTTGGCACGTTTCCTACCACACGATCTGGGATTGGGGGTACTGACTCCTAGATCCAGGCTCAAGCAACTCAATGCAGATATGGGCCGACTTCCTTTGTAGCTCTGGGAAAGGGGGGGAGTCCGTTTTTACATGGTGTGTGTGTGTGAAAATCAATGCAGGGCTGTGGCCGTGGACACACAGAAGGCTCAGGAGAAACACCAGTGGGAGAGAGTTGAAAAGCTTGTCAGGCAGCTGTTCCCACAGACAGGGCCTGACCCAGGGCTTCTGCGGCCTGACAGCTGCAGGAAGTTTTGCCATCTCCCATTTGCCCTATATCTTCTGCTGCCTGAGGCCATCTGTGAGGCCACACAGCCAGTCATCTTTGCCCTCCTCTTCCTTTCCTTCTTCTTTTGCCCCATTAAATGCCATGGGCCTGTCATGTGATAACACACTCTATGCCGACTGAGAATTAGTCTTCAGCCCACCCACCCTTCCCCTGGAGCTTGCAGAGGATAGAGGTACTCTGAACTTCACAGTGTCCCAGTGCCCCAGATCTGGGGTAGAGACTCAACAGAATAACTATCAGAAGCTCTTGCGCCAGAGGACACTGAATCCCAAAGCCCTATCTGAAGGACACAATGCTATGAGGAGGAAAAAGCTGGTGACCAAAGTTGACTGCCGTGGCCACAGGCTGACTGTGTCCCCTAGTGAAACCACCTCTCTACAGACAAGGGGACCCAGGAAACGCACAGAGGGGGATCAGCAGATGGCATACTGGTTATGTCATTGGACTCCTGCATAGGTGACCGCTGTTCGAGTCTTGGACCCGGCGGCTTAAAACTCACGCCGGGCACATGTGCTTGTGTACCCAAAATCCCGAGAGGAGAATAGAGGAGGGACTGCGGTATGGCCATCCCCTCTGGTGTGTGTGCGTGTGTGTGTGTGTGTGTGTGTGTGTTTGTGATTTCTCGTTTTCTCTCTGTTTCCCTATCTCTCTGGCGAGGGCATGTGCCCTATAGCAAAAATCTCTCTACAAAAAAAATTAAAAGGGGGCACAGAGGGTGATGGTGACATCCTTCTCTGTCTCAGGGAGCCTTTGGCCTGAGGTGGTCAGTAATTTGGGAGTTAAGGAAGATGTTCTCGCACACCCTTTAGGGTTGTGGGGGCGGGGGGGACATGTATAGCATTCATACGTAGGACCAGGAGGAAAAACCCCAGGGCAGGAGCCGGATGCTGCCATGTTCTGAGGCTCTGGAATCATAATCCAACTTTCTGCCCCAGTGTTGCCACTATAGGGAAGTCACCTGCTGTTAGTGGTCCGTGCTTGCTAAATGTTTGGGAAAATTATTAGGAAGGCTTACTGCATGACGGGTATACACCTCCCACTGCTTTCCAATTATATGATGTGCCTTTTACATTTCTTTAAATTATAGGCTGACATAGGTTGGTGTGTTGATCCCATTTCACAGGTGGAGAAATTGAGGCAGCAGAGATGTCATAAATGCTACCTTGCTGTCGTTACCTAACAATTCAGAGACCCGGCTGGTTTCAGACCTGCTGCGGGGCTTGCTAGGCTGTTCTGCCTCAGGCCCTGGCTACTGTGGGTGGGGTGCTGATGGTCTGTCAGCCCGAAGGCTGCCTGTGGCATCCATGCACGCTAGTGGGAGCAGGAGGGCCCAAAGCACAGTCCGAATGCATCCATAGTTCAGAAACAGCCAGGCAACTGACACTGTGGGCCTTGTGACTAGGGCTGGGGTGGAGGAGTGGGAAAATGTCTTCTCCACCAATAAGGGTTGTGGTTAATCTTGCTGTGGGAGAGGCCTAGATGCTGCGGCAGGGAGAAACAGAATAGGCTCGGCCACTATCTGTCTGTCACTTCATTCTACATCTATGAGACGCATCAATGGCATGGGTCCCTCTCCTTGAGCCTTTGCTTTTATTGATTGATTTTTATGTTTTCTAATTTGCCAGAAGGCAAGTGTGTTTGCTGGAGATGGGGGATAGGGTGGGGTGAGAAAGCACCCCTCGTGGGGAATAGTCATGCTGAAGTCTTTTCTCCTCTCCCACCTTTCAGGATTTGGGGCACGCATGCACACAAGCTGCTGGATCTGGGACTTGAACTGTGTGGTCATCTGTGGGGGATCTGGCCACCTCGACCACCATACCACAGGCTGGCCTGAATCTTTGTTTTTTAAAAATCCACATACATAGGCTGAAATAGAGCTCACCACGACTAGCCAACCATGATGAAATGAGGTGAAGAGGCCTGTCTTGTTTAACAAGGCACCATCAGATGGTCTGCGCCACAGGCATTTATCCAGAAGCTGGGCTATGAGGTTAGGGCCCCGGGCTGCCTCCATCCTCCTCCTAGCCTCCCAGTGCCTCTGCGCAGTGTCCTGGGCCTCTATGTGTGTGAATGAGCCCCAGACAAAGTGCTGGCCTGGTCACCAAGACACGGGCTGTTCCAGCAAGACCGATGTAGGTGTGGATGCAGGTAAAGATGCTCATATTGACAAAGAGAGAAAACCTGGGCACGGAAGAAGGCATGATTGTCTTAGTAACAATACCGTGAGCACAGAACAGATAGCGCAGACGACGAAAAAACAATCCAGAAAGAGTTGATAATTGAAATGCGCACAGGAGTTTAGCAAGGTTTAGGGACACATGAATGAAGGATTAGGCCAAGAGCGAGCCTGACTCCAGACAACCAATTAGAGCCCTTAATGGGAATTAGCTGTGCCTTGGTATCCAGGACCCCTCCCCCACCACACAGAAACCAAAGTCCCCAGATACTCAACCCCTTTAAGTAAAATAGATTTGTATGTAACCCTCATGCATCCTCCTGTATTCCTTTCAATGGTATCTAGATTAATTGTAATACCTACTAAGTGTAAGTGCTATAGGAATAGTTGTTCTACTGCATTATGTAGAGAATAACAAGAGAACATTTTGCACCTGTGGCTGGTTGAATCTGTGGATGTGGAACCTGTGGTATGGAGGGCTGAGTGTATATCCATGTAAAAACTGGTGATACTTAGTTACCTTCTTGCACTCTTATCTCTTTCATTGTTGGTTTCCCCTGGGTGAACACCTGGGAGGATATATTGGGTCATTGGAAAAGTCATGATATAGTTTTTTCTGTTTTCTTTTCTGATGACCCAATAGAAGGTAAGGCCCAAGGAGCACAAGGATTTGGGGAGGGAGGATGATAAGGCCCCCCTAAACAAGGAAGCAGGCTGGGGCCAGTAGGTGGCATGGTGGAAGGTGCTAGACTCCCATATGGCTGACTGCAGTTCAAATCCCTGACCTGGCGACTTGAAAAATCATGCTGAGTGCTTGTGTATGAATGCATGCCCAAAATCCCAGGGAGAGATGGGACCAGCAGTTGGCATAATGGCTATGTCGCTGGACTCCTATATAGTCGACCGCGGTTTGAGTCCTGGACCCTGTGGCTTAAACTCACGCCGGGCATGTGTGTGTGCATGCCCAAGATCCTGAGAGGAGAACGGAGGAGAAGGGATTGCGGTGTGGCCATCCCCATGGTGGGTGAATTCTCTCTCTCTCTGTCTTTCTGGTGAGGGCACATGTCCTATAGCAAAAACTTCTCCAAAATTCCCATATCAAAAAATCCTCAAAAAAAAAAAAAAAAAAAAAAAAGAAAGAAAGAAAGAAAAGAAATGCCAGGGAGAGAATGGAGGAGAAGGGATTGGCATGGCATGGCCATCCCCTCTGGGGAGTAATTTCTCACTTTCTCTCTCTCTGGCAAGCACATGCACCCTATGGCAAAAAACCTAAAACAAACAAGGAATCGGGTTTGTCATTTGTGTGTGTGTGTGCTCCTATGTACAGACTATAGACTGGAAGTTTGGAAACTGATGCATGAAAATCCCTGCAGGTTAAAAAGATTTTGCTCCCTGGGGAGAGATCATGATGATAGAAAGCCATTATTTATCTGTATCTGCATTGCTGAAGGAAGAGTGTCAATAAAGCAGTTAGAGATGAAATTAAGTATGACAGATGTAAGTTTGCAGCATTGTCTCTCTCCTTTGTGACTGTGGTCTCTCTCTTTAAAAAATTTATATACTGGACCAGCAGGTGGCATGTTGGCTAAGGTGGCTGAATTCCCATATGGCCGACTGTGGTTCAAGTCCTGAACCCAGTGGCTTGAAAAATCATACTGGGGGTACCAGCAATTGGCGCAATGGTTATGTTGCTGGACTCCCACACAGTTGACCGTGGTTCGAGTCTCAGATGTGGTGGCTTAAAACTCACACTGGACGCATGTGTGTGCATGCCCCCAGCTCCCAAGAGGAGAATAGAGAAGGGATTATGGCGTGGCCATCCTCCCTGGTGGATGATTTCTTGCTTTCTGTCTCTGTCTCTTTCTGTCTCTACAGCAATCATACATGCCCAAAAAACAACCTCTCAAAAAAACGGGGGGTGAGGGGGCCACCAGGTGGCATGGCGGTTAAGGGCATTGGACTCCCACATGGCTGACCACAGTTTGAGTCCCAGACCTGGCAGCTTGCTCTTTCACTTTCCCTTTTTCTGTCTCTCACCTGTTCCACTCTGGTCAAATGAAAATAAATAAATAAATAAATAAGTTAATAAAATTTTAAAAAGAAAGAAAGAAAAAAAAATCATGCTGGATGCATATGTGTGAGAGGGGAATGGAGAAGGGATTGTGATGTGGCTATCCCCCTAGAGGATGATTTCTCCCTTTCCCTCTCACTATCTCTCTTCAGCCAGCACACGTACCATATGGCAAAAACCTAAATAAATAAAAAAACCTATAAATACATAAATGAATTATATATTTCTTTCATGAGCAAGAGAAAGAGGGAAAAACAGTATTCCAAACAGGGTCCCCATGTCACAATCCACTCTCAGCCTACTGCTAGCCCCTGATAAAAGGCCATGCGTGCCCAGTGCGCTCAGGGAGGTTTCCAGACTTGAACTGGGAATCTTCCATGTAGGATTGCCTTGGAAAGCATCATGCTTTACTGCTGGACTACCATCCTAACTTGGCTAATGACATAAAATTCTTTAAACATGAGTTTAGTCATACTAGTGACCTCTCTGTAATCAGACATGTCCTATTGCAGCCAAAGGAATCTCGCCACCTGAATGACTGTATCAACTCATTCAGTCTGGAAGAGTGTTCAG